GTAAATCTTGGTGTCGTCGGCATAAGCTGAACATGTGGAGGAAATCAATGCGGGCAGGTCACTTGTATACAGAAGGAACAGCACTGGCCCCAAGACAGAGCCTTGAGGAACTCCACTTGCTACATGATGAAGGTGAGACTGGCTATCACTGACGCGCACAGAGAAAGTCCTCCCGTTGAGAAAAGCCTTAATCCACAGTAACAACTCGCCTCTTATTCCCATACATTCCAACTTAAACAGAAGCCTTCTATGTGGTACGCGATCGAAAGCCCTAGAAAAATCTAAGTAGATTATATCTACAGGAGTCTTTGTGTCAAGATACTGAGTCCAATCGTTGAGAGAGTGGAGAAGGTTGGTCATTATTGATCGACCAGGGAGAAATCCATGCTGATTCTTAGGGATAAGGTCATTTTCGAAAGCAAATGACAGGAGCTTATCTAATATGATTCTTTCAGCTATTTTGGCGGCGATAGGAACGAGACTTATTGGTAGATAATTTTTAGCGGAGGATTTGTCGCCCTTTGTTGTTGTCATATTATGTACCAGCATCACTGCTTTGTTTCCCATTCGCTAATATGAGTTCCCCCCCTGGTATAAACCCTAATAATATCACTATTAAAACGTGTACCATTACATAAGGTCACAAAAATCTAATCAGCGGCCACAGAAAAACAACAAAAAAGACTCTGCTAGCATTCATATAGACAGGGTGAGAACCAAGCAAGAGGGTAGGGAACTAATAAGAGTTTTGCTTACTTTTACTGCCAAGGGAGGAGGGCTTAATAATTGTAAAAAATCTGCTTACGTAACGCCAAACATAATTTACGCATGACGAGTCCCGCTGTCAATCAAGGTCTCTTTTCCAGTTTTTAATAGGGCAACTTCAAATATTTGCCCTCGACTTGCGTATTAGCAAGAGAAATTATTTTTCACGTATTTTTCTTAAATGCAGTCTCTTGTCAACACAATTACACAAACGCGTGCAGGTGGTATTGGCAGTTGAGAACTACTTACGCAAATCATGGCACGTGCAGTAAAACGAAACCATATTTTTCTGTCGCGCCCGTCAATAACAGAAAATGTTGACGTTCTCACGCAAATATACATAAAAAAGATGCCGTGCAAAATATGGACACGTCGGGATTATATAATAAGTCACGTGGATTCATTGGAAAACTGTATCTGATAGCAAAAAATGAACGAGATAATATGGAAATACGATGAAAAAATATTCGACCACGCCCTCCAGTCGCTCCACACACTCGCCGGAGCCAAGGAGATTTTATCTAGTTTTAGTTTTGACGTCCAGTGACACTCCACCGTCTCCTTGTCTAGCTCCTAACATACAAAAATAAAATCATTTCAAAAACCCTATTGACCCTACCAATGTCCCGAGGGTAACGCTACACATATTCCCGAAATTGTAGGTGGTATGGACGAAGGTCTTATAATAATGAAAATAAAGAAGTTATTTTTTTCTAAATATACGATTTGTCCAAACAACGCTGATACCGGTGTTCTGGAGAGCAGTGGGTTGGATTTAGGAGTGGCTATGGTTTAATAATAACTGTCACCTAGCGGATTACAAGTCTCTGTGCGGCGTGACCGATTCCCTTAATGAGGTTACTTGATTTCGGGGGTAATACTGACGGTCAGTTGTCAAAAAGAGCTGACAAAAAATATATAATAAAAATAAAAATTATAAAATTCCTATTGCTGGAGCCTGAGCAACTTTTTCTTTTAAGTTCAACTAATGGGTTAATGGTCATCCCAAGATTTAGAGAACACATCAAGAGCTATTAAAATCAATTCACTGATCAACAGCCAAAAAATATCCTAAATAAAATCAACAAAATATTACTATTTTTAGAATGAAACTTATTTTTTCAATATTAGTTCAAGTTTTAGAGATACGGTAATTATATGTGTTCCTGCTGTGACAGTGTTAATATACTGTAATTCACAAGAATGCACGTGCTACATTTTTATATTCGGCAAGGAAAGATGATGTAATCGGCATGATTGTGTTACGTTATACATACGTGTACATTATATTGTTTTATATTAGCCATTTTTTCCTCAGTTGGCTGACAGCGTTCATGCAAGATGTCTCGAAAGTGTGTAAACAATCCAGATCAGTTTTGTTACGTGTGTGGTGATGTGACTTTTGCGTCTCAGAGACAATCTATTACTCCACTAATAACAAAGGCATATCAGCTTTATTTCGGTTGTAAACTAGGTGATCAAGACAAACAGTGGGCACCCCACATCTGCTGTAATACATGTGCTTCAAGTCTGAGGAGCTGGTTAAATGGCAAAAAACGGTCTATGCGCTTTGCTGTCCCAATGGTTTGGAGAGAGCCTACAAATCATATTAATGATTGTTACTTTTGCATGGTACCTTGTGTTGGACAAGCCACAGGTATGTCCAAGAAAAAAAAATCGGTTATTAACTACCCAACCATACCATCTGCGATGAGACCTGTGCCTCACAGTGACGAAAATCCTATTCCAAAACCCCCAGAATCCTACACTTGCGAATCAGAAAACGAATCAGATCATGGCGATCGAGTGATTCGTCAGGAGGAAGATATGCCATCAACGTCAAGAGATCCTGATTTTATACCGAGCACGTCATGCCACCAACCGCACAGAATAACACAGTAAGAATTAAATGATCTTGTAAGACATTTAGAACCTCCAAAATGTAAGGCAGAGTTCCTTGGTACAAGACTGCAGCAGTGGAACTTGTTAGAAGACGACGTTTCGGTATGTGTTTTTCGTAAACGCCACAAAGACTTAGAACCATTTTTCAATATGAAGAATAACTTGGTTTTCTGCAGTAACATTAACGGCTTACTGGCGGCTTTAAATATAAACTATAACCCAGAAGAATGGAGATTGCTTATAGACAGTTCAACATTGAGTTTAAAGGCAGTGTTATTGCATATTGGAAATATTTTACCATCTCTTCCTTTAGGGTATGCAGTTCACATGAAAGAATCATATGACAATATGAAGTACCTATTGACATGCATAAAATACGATGAGCACCAATGGCATGTTTGTGGCGATTTGAAAGTTGTTGCACTTTTACTTGGGCTGCAGCTAGGCTACACAAAGTTTTGCTGTTTTTTGTGTGAATGGGACAGTCGGGCAAAGGCACTTCATTACACCAGACAAAACTGGCCTGTTCGTCAATTCCTAGAGCCAGGTCAAAAAAATGTACAGCATATGCCATTAGTAGATTCGAAAAAAATTTTATTACCACCACTGCATATCAAGTTGGGCCTAATGAAAAACTTTGTCAAGGCATTAGATAGAGACGGGTCAGCTTTTCAATACCTGCGTCAGAAATTTCCAAGACTAAGTGAGGCAAAGGTTAAAGAAGGTATTTTTGTTGGGCCACAGATTCGAAATATTTTGAAAGATACACAGTTTGAAAACACTTTAACAGGTATTGAAAAAACTGCTTGGAATGATTTCCGTCTGGTGGTCACTAATTTCTTGGGAAATAGAAAAGCTGACAACTATAAAACCCTTGTCAAAAATATGCTGTCATCGTATCAAAAGATGGGCTGTAATATGTCTCTTAAGATACATTTCCTACACTCACAGCTGGACTTTTTTCCTGACAATTGCGGAGCCGTAAGTGATGAGCACGGCGAACGTTTTCATCAGGATATTTCAACAATGGAAAAAAGGTACCAGGGAAAGTGGAATCCTTCCATGCTTGCAGACTACTGTTGCACTCTTGGTAGAGATGCTCCAGAAACGATCCATAAAAGAACAGCAAAAAGACAGCGCATATAGTGATTCTTATAAGTATATGAATCTTGTTACTTTTTTTAGTATATCCTTAAAAATAAAAAGTTTTTTTTCTAAACCGCAACTATTTTTTTTTATTTTATTGTCATTTTTGGATTCAGCGCCCCAAAATTAACAAAGAAGTGCACTTTTCCCACAAGATACAATTAAAAAACTAAAATTTGTTGTCCAGTGTTATCAAACCTTAATGACAAAACAGTTCTATATTCCAGCTCCAAAGATTTAAGGCGGATGTACGGATACGCTCAGTGCTGAAATCTACGGCTTTTTTCCATGAAGAGGCCGTTAGTGCTTTAATATATTTCGGAGAAAACCTACGCCTGTTTCTTGCCACTATGAACTGACAAATACTACATGGTTCATGTACTGGAAATCATTATTTCCAAGATGTAGGAGGTGTAGAGCCAATCTACTTGACGCCACTGTACTCCCTGAACTACTCTGATCTACATTTAGGATGCATTCCATGATAAACAAAACAAATGAGCTCATTATCCTTACATAGTGACATACGAGTATAATACATTTGATTAAAAATTAATCATTTAATTTCAAATATCAAACTTTACACGTGAGGAAATTCGTTGCAATATTGGCGCTGGAACGAATTGTGTTCCATATGTCAAGAATCTAAATTCTGGGGAAGGCGGGGATTTGAAATATAAATCATGTTGCCGTGAACAATTCAATTGGAACGAAGACGGCTAGATAATGGATGGTATAAAGAAGTTATACCCTGCCAAAACGAACATACCTATATAACTTCTGTTTCTAGTTACTATACTTAAACAAGTTGAGTTAAAAAGGTTTCCTTGTCGGAAAACAAAACACCTTACACAGTATAATACACAATATACTTGCGATGAGCTACAATATTGCTATGTTCAAAGAAACCTGATGTAGATATATATCCGCCTATAAGCGCTTACCTCCGGAAAAGCTCAAAGTAAAAAGTCTCACAAAGGATTCTCTCGCTATTAGCAACTTCTTAATAAAAAGTACGTATCTTCTTGGATCATTTTAACCTTAATTACAGGATATAATCCCATTATTCTTTTTAAATATTCAAATCAAATAGGTAGTTTTATCCAATGGACCACGGCTATCTATTGGTAGCGCTGTAAAGCTCAAGACTTTTATAGTATAGGGGATTAAAAAACTATGAATGTTATTTACCCTGCATAGAAAGCTGCATATTCGTCAACCCCGCTGTCATTCTTGCTTAGTTCAGTAAGTATGTCAAAGGTAACTTCATTGGAAATTCTGAATATGAGCCGTGTCTCTGCGCTTTGCTGGCTGAACATTCCTATAGTAACAAGTCGAATACAGAACACATGCATGGTTTGCGAATTATTTTCTATTTCTCTTAGGCTATTTCCGTTATGACAAAGAATCAATGAGGAAGTAATATATCTGTAACCTCTGAAAGTTCTGCTTCTCACTAATAGATAGCGCTGCAGAAAGCGTATAGCGCTCTCTATCAACACCTTTGGAAAGTGTGCACAATGACAGCAAAGAAAACTGTACAGATCTATCAGATAGATTAACAGTTACGTTTTTATACGGTAGAGGGCACAAGCAGCGGAATAGTGCAGTCACTTTATATAAAATAATAGATAATTTTTACGGCTCTTGTTATGCTACTCAGGATTTTTCTTCTTCTGATTTTTCGCGGTAGTGAGACAATCCTCCGTTATCCGTTATTGCAATAAGAGCATTCCTGTTGCCGGAATTAATAAACGAAATAGGCAGCATCTTCTATAAATTGAACTGTCTATAAAGATTGTCAGGATTTTAAAATGCTGTAAAAAAATAACTTAACGGGTAGCTTAAAGATTCATTATTTTTGTTGGACTATAAACTTTACCTATATCAGCAGTTTCTGTATGATAGAGAAATAACTTTAGTTTCTAACTACGATATTTAATCAAGTAACCTTACAGCACAGCGTGATGGAAATACTTTTAACGAATTCCAATGCTGTATAGTATTAATTCATGTGATATTATAAAAATGTAATGTAATATAAGAACTTACCTCGGGAAGACTTCAAAATAAAAGGCGAATAAAGGATAATTTCGCTATCCCCAACTGTCTATGAAAAAACATATTTTCAATAATCAAATTAACAATATTTACACTATATAAATTATCACACTGTAGTTTTAAATATTCAAAACTCAAACAGGTAGATCCAACATCTACCGGCCATCTACTGGTGTAGAAGTGAAGCTCAAGACTAATACACTCTTGGTCTTGGGGATAAAGAAAACTTAAAATGCTATAGCATATGAGCTGCCGACACATTAACTACGCTGGCATTCTTGCTTCGTTCAATAAACATGTCAAAAGTAGTTCTGTGGAATTTGGGAATATAAGACATATCTTTGCGTTTTGCTGCTTGCTACTCATCTATAGTATAAAATTGCAAGCGCCACGCATACCTTTTACGAATTCTCCCAATTTCTATTGGGTTTTTCTTTCTATTCTATTTTAATATAGAACTAATCAGGAAGTAATATGTGTGCGTTCTCAGACGAAAGTTTGGCTTTTCGATAATAGGTGTCGCCGCTTAAAACGCAGGGCGCTATCTGTCAACCGTTATTCAAAGTATCCGACGATGATAAACAAGAAAACTATATGTTGTTGCTCGATCAAAACTAACGAGCTTCTTCATCACTATGCTGACTGTAATCAAATTCAAGCGGATAACCAAATGGAAATGGTATTTACCATTTTGGGTTGGTATTTACCAATCCGTTCAAGCGAGTGTAGTTATCAGTTTGGTTATAAGATCCGTGACGTCACGAATCAGCTGTTATATGTCATAGTTATCACCGCAAAATTGTGGTATTTACCCAACTCAAGAGTAGTTTTATATTCTGGTTATTATTTGAAATGTGACAAGTTAGAATTTTGCCGGGTATTGGATATTGATATTGTACTTCAGATTCATTTTTGAGAAAAATGATACAGGCTGACTTCAGTTTTACCATAAAGTGGAGCACCTTATTAATTATAATCATTACTGTTGTTGGGGCCATTTTAAATATAGTTCATATGCTTAACAAAGTATCCTGTGTAGCCCCATATACCACAAGAATCTTAAAATATGGCCATATAAACTCAGTGGATGATGTCCACCTGTATACGGTTTTGCTAATATCTTTTAATCTACTAAATCAATAAATGTTTTATTTGACATGCGGAAAAGTTTAGAGAATTGAAAGTTATCATAGCTACAAAGCCATGGTTCCATCATTAAAAGAAAATTCTGAAAAAAAACATTTCTCCCATGAATATTATGATAAGGTTTCTTATTTAAACTTTCCATATACAGTTGTAGACGAAAAAGCACCGATTATTAAGTGATAATAAAAATAATCAGAGATTATATACGCGCTTTTCTAAAATAAACAACTTGCAACAAAACCGCGGTTAAAACCAACGCGTTCAAGCGATTCGTGTAACTGACGTCATCAACCCGTGTGTCATCTTGAACCATATTATAACCGCGGCACATAACACAGAAATTTTGGTTATTCGCTTGGATTTGATTTGTTACTTGACACCAGAGATCTTGACACTTGACAGCAAAAATTACACTTTTGTTTTTAGGTTATGGCTCTAGACTTTGTTGATTTTTTAGCTTAAGCATATGCTTGTTTAATTTAGTATTTCTGTATTAGCACTTTACTGAAAACAATCAAAAATGACTTTTCAAGTAGAATTTCAGGCAGTTGTGTTAGCAGCTGGTAAAGGATCACGAATTTCTGAATTAACAACGACAAAGCCAAAATGTTTATTACCAGTCGGCCCCATGCCTTTAGTCTGGTATCCTCTGTATAAATTGGAACAAGCAGGGTTTACTGGTAAAACATTATAACCATCATGTCGTATAGTTGCTATATTCTTTATTTAATTTCTAGATGTAATACTCGTAATACTAGAACATCAGAAATCGGAGATTCAAAGTTCTCTGGACAAAACAGGGATCGAAATAAGGATAGAGTATGCCACAATTGCTGAAAATGAAGAAATAGGCACTGCTGACAGCCTACGAATGCTATATGATAGACTGAAATCTGATGTATTGGTAGTATCATGCGATTTTATTACCGATGTTGATCTGTATGGTTTGCTGGATATCTATAGAATGCATAATGCCTCAGTTGCGTCACTTCTGCTACACCCACAGCACACTGAGGTAATTGCCGTACCAGGGCCAAAATCCAAGCATAAAGTAGGTATGTCATCCATTTTTTTAACAAATCATCTTTAAGTCAGAGAATCTATTTTGTTGTAGAACGTGACCTCATTGGCATAGATCAACAAACCAACAGACTGGTTTTCCTAGCATCAGCCAGTGATTTCGAAAGTGAGCTAACCTTACCTAAAAGCCTTTTAAAAAAACACACCAGCTTAAAACTTTACAGCAATCTTATCGATTCTCACATATATGTGTTAAAAAAATGGGTGATCAAGTATCTGAAAAGTGAAGATAGTTTTTCATCAATAAAAGGTGAACTTTTACCGCACATAGTCAAAAAACAACTGTCAAAACCACCAAAAACAAGTGAACCAAGAGAATCCATTGTCACGTTGAGAGATGCTGGTGACATTTTTGCTTATGCTAAAGAGGAGGACTTGGACTTAGCAATAAGAGAGGCTTCTGCATATAATGACCATATTGGAGATTTAAAACCCGCATATCATGATGATAGTATAAGATGCTATGCTTACATAGCACCAAAGGATGCGTTTGGAGTTAGAGTCAATACTATGATGAACTATTGGACAGTTAGTGGAAAGGTTTGTATTTTAGTTGGGTATCTAACACAATAAGTTGATAAAAACTCATATTGCAATGTTTGTTTGTTATTGTTTAAGATTCATTTAGCATGATTGCTACAATTACAATTTAAAAAACTACAATTAATATACAGATATTTAGAAAAACTAAAGTGGCTTATTTAAGAATTTTCAATCTCCATGAAATATTAATTTAATTTTCTTCTAAACATCTTTAAATCTGAAGTAGACGTTATATAATTATTTAGTTTATTAAATTCAATTAACCCTCTCTGAAATATTGATTTGATAGTTATATCACTATTGCAGTTTTGTAAATGAAAATCTATTTTCTCATGTATAATAATTGTGGTAATGATTATTCAATTCTATGTTGTTTCAAAAGGTGATTTTTCATTTTAAATATAAAGATAAGGACAAAGTATGATATGAATTTTTTTATATTCAACCACTGCAATTCTTGTAACATAGATTTTATTTTGGTGTACTTATTTTTATTCAATATTGAACAATATAGTAAATGCAGTAGAATAATTGTATTATAAACAATTTTGTTGTAGAATCATTCATTTTTAGTTCGTTGACATTTAACCAATTTATGATTTTTGCCAAGTCAAAATTTAGCAGTGTCTGACTAAAATATCACAAATGTCATTAATGTATAAAATGAATAGTAGTGGACCTAGTTTACTACCTTGTGGTACACCACCCAAAATATTTTTTTAGCTTGATAATAAAGATACAATTTTTGTTTTTTAAATTATGTCAATTAAGTAGTTTTGAAAATTATATTACTTCAAAAAAATATTTCGAAACACTGCAGATTATTGACTCCTGGCAGAGGATAACCAATGGCAAAGAACTAATTTTGAAACACCCCGAGGCCACAATTAGTTCCAACCAAGTAGATGACAAATGCATCATATGGGAAGGTGTTAATCTCAAAGAAAAGACTTCATTCAAAAACTGTGTGATAGGAGCCAATGCAGAAGTAAACAGCTTTAGCAGAGTTTTCAACAGCATCGTTATGAACAATGTTACTATTAAAGAAAAGTGAGTATTTTTATGATAAAGAAGCAATGAAAACTGTCTAAAGTGTATTCAAATCTCATTCATGTCCTGTGAAAACAAACGCAGTTCAAAATGGCACGCTCTCCTGCTAACCAGCAGGTCATAAATGCCTGGATGTGGTAGCAACAAGCAACAGGAAGTGGTGATCAGGCGCTATTTGTTTTAAAGCAGAGAAAATGACGTTTGAATATATTTTAGCTCTCAATGTAAGAATGGGAATAGCGCATACAGTGTGCCAATATGAAAAAGAAGAGAAAAAATTATTTTTTGTGCTCTAACTATACTTTTCTTTCACAGAGTTGCCATAGAGAACTGCATAGTATGTGATGGTGCCATTATAGAAAACGGATGCAAGCTAAAAGGTTGTATAGTTGGAAGCTACCATACAGTAGAAGAAGACTCCGAACATGCTAGTGAAGTGCTAACCGAATCTGATAGATTGATGGAGTTTTAGTATCATGGCCTTCTTAATGAATTATTTATAGATATTTATAAATTTCAAATAAAAATGCTATGTATGAAAGAATCACTTGATTTATTTCTTGCTGACATCACAAAATAGACAAAAGGTTTATTCAAATATTCAAGATTATTAAATGAGATGAGAGATTAGAAATGAACCTGAAAGACAACATGGACAAGCAAGACAACTATTGAATTGGACTCTTAGAAGACTATCCGTATCTCGAAAACATTGCATACCGCTTGAAAAATGCAAACGAAGGTGCGGTGTTGCCAGCTCATCGGACAATTTTGTTGCCTATGCCATTATGCTAGAATGTTATAAAAAAAATAAGCTTTGGATAAAATATTGAGGGATATAAATGGAGATATATAAAATTTGAGGCGTAGCATTGTTTACATTTACATAGGATGTCAATCCTAACACACAAGTGATGAGTATGCAAGGCTTACATAGCTTGCTGCACAGGTTTCCTGTTTCCCTCAGAAGAGTTGGAAGTAGACCTAATTTCCACTTTGGATACACTTGACACCCACGTCACAGCACTAAAGCACCACTGAGACACTATCGAGAACCCCATACTTAACACCACTACTAGAAAAAAGCAGCTAAACCGAATACAGCTCGGCCCGGAGCTGTTAACGCTTAATCATTCCGCTGCGACGACGGTTGCCAAGAGACTGATGCGTGTGAGTGCTGTACCTCGCTGCGGCGATACGGTTCGGCCAGGTAGTACAGCCACGCCCCTTTCCAGCCCGCGTACGGATATTACGTATCTTGAAAATTGAAATGATGCCGATTTTTTTGACATTATGCTGTTTTTTTTTTGCATTATGTAGGTTTTTCTGCAAGATGTTAACTTCGCACTTAGTTGTACGTGTTGCCTAAACGTCATGACGGTTGTGATCAATCTTTGGCTCTGATGTGATGTAAAATATGCTTCTGAGATGGCATTACTGGAGGTCTAAGCTGTAAGTTGTATGTGTTGATGATGATTACATTGGGTTCTTGTCTCAAATACACTTAATTGAGATTCAAAGCTAGAGATTAGTTGCGCATCCACTATTTCTTATTCATTCTGGAAATAAAATATGAAAATTTGCCGAGTTTTAAAAATGAGAGAGATAAGAAATAATTATATTCACTGTACACTGTCGAATTACAAGTCATATACACGCTAACAGTAATTAGACACAACGCGGGCGCGGTGATGATTTCCCGTAATTCTCCTCAGTTTTTCGTGATTTATAACTTTGAGCATTACCTCTCGTCAGAAAGCACAACATAAAAATAACCCGTCGGGCACAGCCAATAGATATACTTCATTGTCAGCATACTCAGTAATGATTTTCTCACACAGCAAATATCACTGATTTTAGATTTTATACTCATGCAGACCAATACACATCTCTTCTCAGAGATAAAAACTACAGACAAGGACCATTTGGCCTCACAAAACATATGCAACCAATAATGCGTGTAGTTTAGTTGGGTGATTCCTCCTTAGATGGACGTTCACAAGGAACCTAGTGAGCAAACGTGGAATGACGGTTTGCGCCCTAAAAACTACCTAGTTTGCAAGATGAAATCTTATAGGTTTTTTTTGACGTTTTATACGTTTTTTTTGACGTGTTATAGGTTTTTTACATGAAACCCATGCCGTTCAACATAAACATGGAGTCGCTTCGTAATACTGTCAGATAAGAAAACGCAGCGACTCAAAATGTAACAGCTTTTGTTTAGTTTTTTGGCAAAGATTGCTACGCCTCGAATTTTATATATCTCCATTGCTATTCCTCAATATTTTACTCAAAACTTCTTTTTTTTATAACATTCCATCAAAATAGCAGAGGAAGCAAAATCGTCCGATGAGCTGGCAACGCCGCAATCCAGATGGCAAGAATGATAAGGTTATCTGTCAAGACGGACGTCTATCCCGAGGTACCGAGAGCTCTCACTTTGAACGTCAATACGGCAATTTTCATTTACATTTTTAAGTGTTGTGCAATGATTTCGGCACAAATTTCGCTACGGATAGTATTCTAGAGACTAGTAGAATACATTTCAACAGTTGTCTTGCGTGGCCATGTTATCTGTACTCGGACCGAAAGCTCTGGCAATGATGGTCTTGGAACAACTTATAGATATTTCAAATTGTTCCTGATCGCCACCTGTCAAAAAGTAAAACAAACCAAAATTAATAATTCTATCTATTTTCAATACAAAGTTTAATTCCACCAGACTATATTAGATGAATCATCGATACTTAACTCTATTTTTCCTCAAGTACAGAGACTTGACTACCATGATTTCGTTATTACGAATTTGTTTTGCAAAATTCTCCTTATTCGAGTATGTGTTTCTAAAAAACAATTTTAGTTTTTCATATTTCTTTGCATACAATCACTGTACTGTAAAATTAATGCGCACCCTCTGTTGAAGAAATTATGTACCTATATTTATTACTGACTTGCAGTTTTCTTAGATGATTCTACACGTGAGGACAGGGATATTTGGCTATATTTTTCCCCCAAGTACTAGATACAGTCGTTGGATTTAATATTATGATTTCTTTAGCGCATATTACAAATATTTCATTTCTGATTATAAAATGGAAGATTTGGATGGCGAAAATATTATTTTCTGTAAGGAGGCCTCTACTTGTTTCATCGAACTTTAAAGTTGCATTTTTGTTTGTTTTTTCCACAAAATCATGCTCTAAATTATAAGAATATAACATACACGTATATTACTCCATCAATATTAATCGCAATAGAGCAATTTTGTTTTATTTTTATGATCAAAATAGATTATTAAGTAATCATTTCCTTTATTTAAGATAAACATTCCCATCACCACACCCCCATCACTATAATAGTTTCTTCATCTAGTCGCAATGCTACCAAATCATGAATAGTTGTGGTTGGCTATTAGTAAAACAAATGCCGCGCGCGAATCAGAATTTGATTTGGTCTGTCAAATTATTCAACTGTCGGGAGTTTTTTACGATTTTGGGAGATTTTTACCATTGTGACTTATTTTTCATAATATCTGTGAACGTTTTTTGTTAAGTACGTATTCATATAGTAATTGTATCTATGTATATTATATTATTTTGGTTTTTCATTGTAGATATCGCTGCCTATATGTTCCTTGCCCAGAGAGACTGAAGAAGCTGTCGAGTGGGCCAAAGAAGTTATTTCCGAGGGCAAAAAATGTGCAATAGGCTCAGGACATTGCCATGAATATCCGATTTGGAAGTATAATCGACCCAAATCGACTTCCTGCCCTACGATGTCTTTAGCCAAAGGCACTTTTTTGAAAAATGTCGTATGCCCTTCTCAAAAGTACTTCGGTAAGTTTTCTTTCTATATTACAGTGTAATCCATTTAAATTTCTGTGTCTGTACATGAAGAATTATTTAAAGTGAAGCTGATGTCACAAAATATACCTTTTTGATAATTGTATTTTAACTAATATAAAAATCGCGCGGCGGCATCATGAAGGACAGTTCTGAGTCGCAAAGCCCATTGGCATTGACGTTGTGGTAGAAGAAAATTAGATCGTCGACGGCTCGAGACTGTCAGTGAGAAAAAAAAATCATGTATTCGAGTCTTGGTCTTATCTGGGCCTTGTGTTTGGTTCTAGTACCTTCGTATTACTTTGCATAAAATTACAGCATTATATAGTTTATGCGCGTCCTCTGTGGAACGCAGTATCAACCACGAGAATATTTATTATTAACCTGCAGCTTCCTTCGCAGATTTTGAGCATGACTTTTTTATTTTGCAAAGTAGCCGATAGATGGCGCGCAAATATTGTATGCAGGCGTCATCCATTGCCTGTAAATTGAACTTTCTTATAAATATAATTCAACAATTTCTTCATTGCTAAATTGATACCAATCTTTAGATCTGATGCGCCATTAACAGATGCCGTCCATGACACAAAGTGGCGCAACCTATCTCATTTTTTTCCAATTTTACATTAGAGCGTTTTAAATATTTTCACGAGATTTGAGTTGTTGCTGACAAAAAGGTATTATTGCTACATAATTGAATTAAAAAATGACTAACGATTAACCCATTCTTCATTTTGTGTTCAAAATTTCCAAAAAAAGTAGATACGTCATTTTGTGAAAATGAAGGGTCGTAATTCATAGAATAAAGACTTGGTTACGTCCGTGTTATATTAAGTGATGCAAAATTAAAAATCATGAAATTTGAAGAAAAAAATATTTTATTACAACTTGAGTTAAGCTTTCTCGTGAAATTTGATTTCCTATTAAAATTAGATAAGTATAATATTATTTTTCAATAACTCTGAAGGTATCAGAAACTAACTTATGCCTCTTCGTGATATTGAAGAGCAACCTTTTTTAAGGAATAAAATCGACTTAAGGCGGCTCCGACGCAGTGAGTTTCAAGCCATTTACAAGGGTTCAGCTGCTTCAAAACTGACACTCCATTTTTCAATATTTTTGAATGAAATTTATACAGTATGTTGAGAAGATAATTGCTCAGGGTGCTATAGGAGCACTTTTTGAAAAAAAATTTTTGCACAAGTTTTATGATGGGTTGAAGTGCGCACTTTTTCTGTTCAACTTCGCGATTTTTTTAAAAAGAACCTAGTGAAAAAAATGAAAAATTGGCTCTATAGCACTCTGTGGGGTTTTGTTTTCAGCACTAAAAATTTCATTCAAAAATATCAAAAAATATAGCGTCAATTTCGAAGCGCGCAAAAGTCTACAAATCTTATTTTGGACGAATTTTGTCTACTGTTTCGTGCTGCTGTTTTAGTATTTGAAGCTGACTGTATAATTTGTGTTATTTCTGCAGGTTTACAGGTTGACTAAAAATAAAAACTTTCTATGGCTTCTGCTAAAGATTCTCTTATTAAGCTACATAAATACAAAGCATGGCAATATATATGGTAAATACAAAACCCTATGGCTTTAAATCTGATATGTTTAAACGAGCAATTCGTTCCGGTCACAAAATACAGGGTGTTAGTTTTCTGTATAGGTATATGTATAAAACTCACATCCTGTACTTTGTGACCAA